TTACATGTGGCTAATGGCTACTATATTGGACCGCACAGATTTCCATCATCACAGAAAGTTGTATTAGACAGCACTGAACTACAACTGACCTGGAAATTCACTCAACTGTTCATTAATATTGTAGGGAATTGCTTAATTTTGAACTATCTCTGTTATGGCATCTTTTACAGAGTGGTAAAATAGTTATCGAAAGAGTAGAATTTATATTCAAACTTCTCTACTAAGTTTTATTTTCTTTACATCTCTGCATTAAATTCTGTCAGCTCTGGTATTCTGTGGTTCTGTCACCTAATATCTTGGCATTACTATCTAACATCTAAATGAGAGTTACACTGGAAATTAGCACCCCTACTGCTGCTTATCTGCAGTTATGCCCCTTTTCATAATAGCTTTATTAAGATACAATTCACATGCCATAAAATTCACTGTTTTAAAGTGTACCTTTTAGAGATTTTTATATATTCAAAAAGTTGTGCAAGCATCACAACTAGCTAAATTTAGGAGCATTTTCATCTCTCTTAAAAAAACCCCCCATACCCATTGGTAGCCACGCCCTTCCCCCATTCCTCCCTGGCAAACACTAATCTACTTTGTTTCTATGGATTTGCTTATTCTGGTCATTGTGTATAAATGGAATTTTACAATATGTGGCCTTTTGTGTGAAAAAAAACCCCCCATACCCATTGGTAGCCACGCCCTTCCCCCATTCCTCCCTGGCAAACACTAATCTACTTTGTTTCTAGGGATTTGCTTATTCTGGTCATTGTGTATAAATGGAATTTTACAATATGTGGCCTTTTGTGTGTGGCTTTTTTCACTTAGTATAATGTTTTCAAATTTCATGCTTGTTTTGTCATGTATCAATACACTTCATAGAGTATTCCATTCCATGGGTATACATTTCGTTTATCCATTAATCAGTTGAACATGAGTAGAATTGCTGGATCAACATAATTGGTTTAAATTATTAAACATAATTCTGTGTTTAATGTTTTAAGGAACTGCCAAACTGTTTTCCAAGGTGACTATAACATTTTCCATTCCCATCAGCAATGTGTGAGGGTTCTAATTTCTCTACATTCTCTCTCTTTTTTTTTTTATTATAGCATCCTAGTAGCTGCAAAGTGATATAGGATTGTGATTTGGATTTGTGTTTCCCTAATGACTAATGACATTGAGCATATTTTCTTATGCTTATTGGCTGTTTGTATATCTTCTTTAAAGAAATGCCTATTCGTGTTCTTTGCCCATTTTAAATTGAGTTATTTGTCTTTTCCTTGTTGAGTTATAACAGTTCTTTATATATTTAGTATGTCTTTTTATCACATATAGGACTTGCAAATATTTTCTCCCATTCTTTAGATTGTCTTTTCACTTTCTTTGATGGTGTCCTTTGAAGCATAAAAGATTTAATTTTGACACAGTCTCATTTATCTTTTTTTTTTCTTGTTTGTGCATTTGGCTTCATAGCTAAAAATGATTGCCTAACCCAAGGTCACAAAGATTTACGTTCCTGTTTTCTCCTAAGAGATTTATGGTTTTAGCTTTTACATTAGGTTTATGATCCATTTTGAGTTAATTTTTGTGTATGGTATGATATAGGAGTTTAACTTCATTCGTATGCATGTGGATGTCCAGTTGTCCTGGCATCATTTGTTATAAAAACTTTTTTACCCATTGAATTATCTTGGCACCATTGTCAAAAATTAATTAATTGTAAATGTAAAGATTTATTTCTAGACTCTCAATTCTACCTCATTGATTATCCTTATGCTAATACCATGGAGTATTGATCACTGTAGCTTTTTAGTAAGTTTTGAAATTGGGAAGTCTTCCAACTTTGTTCTTTTTTTCAAGATTGCATTGGTTATTTTTGGCTTCTTGCATTTCCATATGAATTTTAGAATCAGCTTGTCGATTTCTATTTTTAAAAAGGCAGCTGGGATTTTGATAGGGTTTGCATTAAATCTGTAGAACAAATTGAGGAATATTTCAATCTTAACAACATTAAATCTTTCAGTCCATGACAGGGGATGTCTTTCCATTTATTTAGGTTGCCTTTAATTTTTTCAATGTTGTTTCACAGCTCTCAGTGTACACATCTTGCACTTCTTTTGTTAAATTATTACTAAATGTTTCTTTTGTAATTAGAATGTGTTTGTAATTGGACTCTATTATGAATTTTTTCTTAATTTCATTTTCAGATTGTGCATTATAAGTATATAGGAAGATAATTGATTTTTGTACACTGTTCTGGTATCCTTAAGTCTTGCTAAATTTATTGGCTCTTTGCAATAGGTGATACTAGAGAACTTACAATTTACTGTGACTTAAAAGAAAAACTTTTCTTCATTTTCTAGGAATTCTAGCTTTAGGGTTCATCAATGAAGCTATTGATGAAGGGAATCCTTTGAAGACTTTAGATACCTTGCTGTTACCTAATGCTAAGATTAGAGGTGTGGACCCAGACTATGCCCAGCACTACCAAGATGTTTTACACCATGCTAAATCACAGAAATTCAGGGTAAGTTTTAGTATGTTTGTTTCCCTTAAATTTACAGGCTGGGTTATGGGGGGGAGGGTAGGAAGGAAGATTTTGTACAGCCAGCAAGTAGGATAGTGAGAACTCAAACCCAAGCCTCCTGTTCCCACATCCCAGGGGGGAGGAAAATGGCCTTCTCTCACTGTTCCA